TTTTTATAAGTATACCCTCATCTTATTTTTTTCATTCCATTTACCAGACTCATAGTAATTTTTTAAACACATTTATCGAGTAAGCACTTGATGGGGGAAAGAAAACAATGCCTAAGCTATATCTGGCATGTCATCACTAAATTTAAATGGAATATGATTACATCTTCCTGATTGAAACATGATGATACCATAACAAATTATTGATTACACTTAGAAGTTAGAATACTACTACATCCACGAATCTGCAAAAAGATCTGAAATAATCAACAACCAGATACATGCCCGTGACATGATCAATGATCAGCAAGAGAGCATGGCATTGGCAACCAGTCAAAGATGCTTCACCATGGAATCAGACCTGCATACAAATGACAATAGATATTGTATACCTTAAAGAATCTATTTCATTGAAAATGGAAACCATTGTTAACGTAAGAGAAGATTGTGTAGATCAAAAAATAACCTTTTTTTTTTCTCTCAAGATGTGTACAAACTGTGATGCATTTACAACACACATATAGCTTTCATAAAATTATTTTTTTTATTTTTTCTACTATCTTCCAACAATTAAAGCATTGTTGTCAATTCTCAACACCTAAACCATACAAGACACCAGCATATTTCTCCAAAGAACCACTAAAGAAGTTGTCTTTCAACTTTCTGAAAGTACAAGCAGTAAGCAAACTATCTGATCCAGCTTGATGACAAACACCAATTCTTTCAACTTCCAACAGTTCAGCCAGCTTGTTCAACCCACCATGAAGACTATTGCAGAACTTCATCAAATGCTTAATGTCAAAAATGGTGGGGAAATACATATCAATCAAACTAAAGAATCCAGATTGTGTATCGGGTAGATTCTGGCAAGTCAGCACCTTCAACAAATACCCAAAATCATATCCACTATGGAAAGTAACCCAATACACACTATCATTCAAAACAATCCCTGATGACATCAATAGCTCACCAAATCTCTGAGCATCAATTCCATTTTCGTTGTTTTTCTTGAAATCAATACCACTCTGTCTCAAAAGCTCAACGGAATCATTGGCAAAGACATCGTCGTTCACATTGAATTCCCGGAAATTGAATTGCCAGATGCAATATTTATCTGTTCCACATGTTGGTAGGTTTCCTTGATCGTCAGAGAACGTTAACCCTAACTGGATCAATTTGAGCATGTCGACGTTATCTTTTAGCGTCTGGTAATGATAATCGTTACTGTTTTTGAAATTACCGACAGGACGAAGAACAATCCCAGGAAATTCGGTGTCCATTGCAATGTAAGGAAAATCATCAACGAGGCCTCGGATCAATGCGAATTCTTCTTCGAGATTGTCATTCCACACCTCCCGAATCAGAATAGAATCGCTTTTTGACAAAAGCGACATTTCTCATAACAAAAATGTCAAATTTTCAACGAAATTTCGTGAATAAACATGGAATTATATGAAACCCCTTTGCGAGTCGACCCAGATCTGCAATATACACAGGCGACAGACATCATCAGCATGATACAATTCAACAAATATAAAATTGAAGTGGGATAAAGAAGTATTGCTAAAGAGAAATTACTAGGAAGAATGCAAACCTTGCGATGCAGATCTAACAATAAGGAGAGTCTAGAATTAGGGTTTCGAATTGGAAATGGAAAGGGGAATTTTGGGTTTACTTATTGGGTGAACGCTGCAGCGAGGAACCTTTCTCTGTCCTGATGACGACTATATGGTGTACGAAAAGAGAGAGAAAAGGCAGCACATCATCAAATCACATATGTTCCTAAATTCATATAGCACAAAATTAATGTTGTTTTAAAATGATTAAATATCTTATTTTACTCGTCTATAAAAGCTTAAAGTTATTCACTGTAAATATAAATCCTCAAAATGTAAGCCACCGCAAATTAGTAAAATAGTTTTTGTGACAAAACTGGTTTTATAAATTAAAAGCAAAATCATTAATTTCATGAAATTAATGAGTTGCAAAATCATCGTCTACAAAAAAATGTTATTTTTAATTATTGACAGTTTTTAATTCATAAATAATGTATTTCTCGATGTTGGTCAAGATTATAAATTTTTTATCGTGGTAGAGAATTTCCACATGATATTTGATTATATATAGACTCATGTTGACAATTATAAGGAAGATAGGAGAGACACTATCATTAAGATAAATGAAAAACAAATATATACGGAATTATTGAAGTTAAAAAAATTAAAATAGAGAAAAACGACATTTGAGACTAGATATGGGATGTTTTTGAAAAATTGATTTTCCAAGAGTTATATCTAGTTTTTTTATTTGGCTATTTGTTAATCTATGTAACATATAACATTTAACGAAATATTTACTTTTATAACTAGAAAGGTTACCCCCGCTACGCGGGGGCCAGAACCTTTCAATGTTGTTTCCGAATTGATAAATATGACAGACATAGAAAGTACAATGATGAAAAGTCCGGCCTTTGCCCGGACAAAAAATGTAAAAGTTTTGACTGGAAGGACCAGAAGTGTGAAAATGGCTAAAGAATTAAAGGGGTAGGAATTAACAACTTTTTAGAAAAGGGATCAAAGTTGTCAAACCGTTAAAGTTTTGTGGCCAGACTTTAAATATTAAAAGGTTCCAAAAAAGTGTAAAAATATTGATTGCAAAGACCAAAAGTGTGAAAATGGGTAAAGAATAATGACCAAAGTTGCCAAAAAAACATCCAAATTTAGTATTCCTAACTTCCAACAATAATACAGGGACCAATTCTGCCAAAAAAATGGAAAGTTGAATGGAACACAAACAAAAGGATATGAATAAATTAATTAAAGAAGTACAGGGTCCGGATATGTAAATCAAGGGATCAAATCTGGACAAAGTATCCCAACTTTACTATTCCTTTCTTCCATAACTTTAATATATATATATATAATAATATTAAGATCTAACGTCTATTCACGAGATCCCCAAATAATAAGTGTTCTACACTTGTGATGTTTTAGGGAAGGTCATATCAATGGGTGAGACAGTATGGACGATAGTCAAGAGCCTCTAAATTTCTATGACTCATTTTTTATGTATCTACTAATATTATTATAAGAAAAAATTATTTGGTATTAAGTTGTCGCAGACAATGAAGAAAAAGAAAAAATGAAAATGGTTCAGCTTAAATTTTAGGCAGTACGTTTTTTTTTTTAATCTCGAACACCTTATCACTACTTAAATACTCTATGAACAAACATACAAGAACTCTATAATCTCTCAAAAAGCAGTCGAGGACTTTGAAACGTAAAGATTTTGATGGATTTTAATGTTTCATATGATTCATGGTTGTTTTATTTTATTATTGATGCTAGCAAACATATAATTGATTATACTAGACAATCTTTTGATGATAGTAATTCAATGGATTTAATGTACATAAAATTCAAAAGTAATTATAAAACACATGTTATGCTGCATTTTTATCCATGTAAGGGATTCGACATAGCAGGCAAAAAGAAAAAGTCCAACATGCATAAAGAGTATTAACTATTAGGGGGATAATCTGTACAATACAAAGTAGAAGGGCTAAACGTTAAAATGAATGAAGTTTAGATAGAACTAGGGTTTTAGATTCCGCACCCTTTATAATCTCTCAAAGTCTGCGGGCAGAGCTTACCGTTTCGTGCATTTCTTTGATTTTGAGGCAGCATCAGGTATTCCCCCCACTCTCAATCTCTACATCTCTAGTGAAATTACTTCGATTGCTCATTGTTGGTAAATATAGCGTTGGATTAATGAGTTATTGTGCTGATTTTCTGTTAATTGTTAGTATAAACCACGCATTATCTGTTTCAGTTTGATATAGTGGATGAGTCTATCGTTTTTTCTCGACTGTGATTCCGATTTTGTCTAGAATTACGCGAATACTGATTTGGAAACGCTTTGATCTTTGTCTCCGTCCACCTGATTCTCCGATCTAAACGTATTGAGAAAGCTGAGAATTTTTTTTCCCCTTTGAGTACGATTTGTTTGATTTCGTGATTGACATTATGCAGTTTCCGACCACATAAAATTTCAATTTGATGTGCATGTATGCGATTGAAACTCAAGCTGATGCTCGAAATTCTGTTTTATCATATCGTTTGCTAGGGACACCAACGAAAAAAAAATTATTTCTTTTCCGGATTTATTTTTAAACCAAAGTGACACTGTCAGCATACATGTCTTTTTGTGTATTGTTCTTCCTTCTGTGAATAGTATCTCTCGTTTTGCTTTGTTTCTGTTGCGACTGATGAATGTTCCTTATCAAAAGCTTTCTTCACATATATTAAGAGGTTTGAAGGAAAATAAATGATCTGCTAACCTTCACTACAATGTATCTTCTTCCTGACATGCTTTCCTCATTTGTTTGGACAGTTTGATTTGAACATCTTACATCCATCAACAGCAAACATGGCAGCAGTGTAAGTGTTCTATATTCAGTATTATAATAATTCTGATTTCAAATGAACACAATCATACATTCTTTATCAAAATCTAATGGACATTTTTTAACTTTTGTAGTGAAGAGGGCGTTGTTCCAGTTGAGGTCCCAGCTCCTGCTGCTCTTGGTGAACCCATGGACATCATGACAGCATTGCAACTTGTGCTAAGAAAATCACTTGCTCATGGAGGTCTTGTGCGTGGACTTCATGAGGCTGCAAAGGTGATTGAGAAGCATGCTGCTCAGCTCTGTGTATTGGCTGAGGACTGTAACCAGCCAGACTATCAAAAGTTGGTCAAAGCTCTTTGTGCTGACCATAATGTCAGCTTGATCACTGTTCCTAGTGCAAAGACTCTTGGCGAATGGGCTGGTGTAAGTCTCTTTTTTCATCATACTTGATTAGAAATAGCAGTTTACTTTCATTGACTTGTTTTTCTATAATTTCTAACATCATACTTTTTTGGATTAAAGTTGTGCAAGATTGACTCAGAAGGCAAAGCTAGAAAGGTTGTGGGTTGCTCTTGCCTTGTTGTGAAGGTAATTTTTTTTTTTTTTTTTTTTGTCAAAAGTGGTTTTGTTTATGTGCTATTTCTTTATTTATTTAATTTATATATATAAAATTTGCAGGATTACGGAGAGGAAAGTGAAGGGCTTCACATTGTTCAAGAGTACATGAAATCTCACTAATTATTTGGCAGTTGATGAAAATACTCTTGTTGTTTTTTCTGTTTTTGAGTTTTGGTATGAGGAGACCCTTAGGGATGATTAGATTGTTGGAGTAAAAACTCTTGTTGAAGTTCATTAGATATTAATTATTGAGTTTTTTTTTTTTGTTGTGTTTGGCCATTGTTCAAAATTCAAACGATATGTCTTGTTAAGCATATTACATACAATTTCTGTTTGAGAGTTGGGTGTAGCTTAATAAAACATTTTTTTAACCTAATTTTTAAGCTTGAGCTGCATGGATGACATGTTTTCTCTAATATAGAATCAAACACTTAACACGTGACTTAAATTAAAAATATCGTTGTCTTAGATGTTAAGTTGAAATGATTATCCAAAAATTAGCCTTGATGTGATTGTGTCCTTTGTGTGTAACCGTGGCTTGAAATATGATGTAGCATAATAATAATAATAATAATAATAATAATAATAATAATAATAATACAAAGCTATTGTGCCCGAACTAGAACAAGTTTTGATTTTGGGGCTATTTTTTTTTTAATTTTTTTAATTCAAATATGTTGTAGCATATTTTTTTTAATTTTTTCAATCCCAAGATGAAGAGAAATCCCATCACTTTAAGTTGTCTTCTACAACAAGGGTTACAAGTAGATCTCTTAATTGTGATAAAAGTTATGAGAAAATCTAATGACATCTACAATGTCTTAGGCATTACAATTACAGGTTCTGCTAGACCTACAATTTCGATCACCACTCCCCATATTAAACCTACAAAATCGATCTACACCGGTATCCATTCCACTCCCAAAATTTTTAAATCCTTAGGTTATAGAAAAGGGAAGCTAAAATTCTACGAGCGCTATATTCTTGGAAAACAATATGAAATTTAACACTTTGGTTCATACCACCAAAAACATTTTGATTATGTTCACTCAGATTTAAGTGGGTTGTGTCAAAACAAATGCCATGGAGAAATGCAGTATCCAAGTTTGAACCTTGCTCGTAAGCTTGGTTGACATTCAATCTATTCCTTAGTGGCTATGGCATAAGATTTGTTTTCCGTTTTTGGAGGTTTTTTCTATTGATGATGGAATTTGTCTCAAGGTGAGCCGTAGTCTCCTTCATGGGAGTTATTTGGTTGCTTGGTTTTTAAGTAATTAGGATTTATTAATCTTCCAATTTATTTAGTGTTTATGATTTTTAGAATTCATGGTGCGATTTATCATTTTTAGAATTATCCCCACGATGAGA